CCAATGTTGATCATAGCCATGCGCTGGGGTTGGCAAGGCACATGACACGCGCTGAGTTCCAGACATTGTTATGGTTCGGCTGTTGTCGTCATTGCAGCGATTGGACACAAGACACTACCCGAATGCTTCTCGAGCTATCGATTATCACGAGCCCAAATCGAGTGTCCACGCCATGCTCGGGTCCAATCTATGAGCCGCATTCAAATATCGTCACTGGGCGGTAGTGCTACCGCCCAGGTACGTCATCAGGTTTTGCGAAGGAGAGATTGAATGAAAACGCCCGCTTTTGTTCTTGAAATTACACCGCAACAGAGGAGTTTCTTGGCCAGTGGCGTTGCGTGCGAGCAGACTTGTACCGTACGCATTACAAGTAATCAAATTACTTCTAATATTTTACTTTCTGGAGTAATTTTCTAATCAGCTGATTACTTGTATTAGGCAGTAATCAGAAGAGTAATCTGATTACTTTTTGAAGTAATAAATATTACTTCTAACCGTTACTATTTTTTCATAAACCCCCCCCTCCCCCCTTCCCTGCACACACTTTTTTTTTTTCTGAAATGACAGAAATAAAATTTGCTTCGGAAAAAACGATTTTTGCGGAGCTGTAGGAAACGAGGTCAATCCCTTTGTATGTACAGTTTCTGTAGAACGTCCGTTTCTTTTTCGCGCTTGGACTGGGAGTGGGAAACCCCAGAGAAGCCCCAGTGCGTGAGAAAGGCCATTGAAGGCGAAGTTTGAGAGAGCAGAATGTGGTTTTGTAAGTCCTTCGTTCAAACTAGCCACCTCAAGCACACGCATACAGAAAAAAAAAATCCTGCTTAAGGTATCTACTCGCAGCCCGTAGGAGAATCAGAACCGGAGGATGTTTAAAGCGGATGCAAAATATAACAAAGCCAGTTGAAATATTTACCTATTTCCCCTACGTGGTCTTTGTGACAAGCAAGGTTTCGAGTTGAGAAGGGGTCGGGGCCATCTCTTCCGCTAATGGATACTACATATGACCCGTTTAAAATCGTGGAGCTGCTGCTCTTTTGTATAACATGCGAGTTCATCCGAATGTGAATAATAAAATGAGCGACGCAAACTTTGAGTGACAACCCTTGCTTAAGCTTGTCAAGATCTAGACCCCCTCCGCTTCCTCCCCCCCCCCCTACCTCCCCCCTGCCCCCGAACTGGTGAACGCCAAAATCATTAAACTTCTTCAAACGAATTCTATGCTTGTGTCCCCATTGTTAAGGTACAACGACCACGAAAAGGGAAACCGTTTCTTCTTCAATACTTGTGAAAATGCGAAATATAGGTTGGAAGTAGTTCATTGTTATGAGCGCTAAAGATGTAAGTCTTCACACAATAAAGTAATCGGAGAAGTAACGGTTACTTCTTAAAGTAATGTCCAATTACTTTTGCTGTCAAGTAATCAAGTAATCTAATCTTATACTTTTTAGCCAAGAGTAATAGTAATTGTAATCGATTACGTTTTTTTAGTAACGTGTACAAGACTGCGTGCGAGTATCCTTGAGTCCCACTAGTGCCAGTAAGCTCGTGCCAAGTGAAAAGCATTCCAATTGAATATCGTTGTACTACCCATTTAAATATGTTGGAAATTGTGGTACGATGCACACCGAACAGTACTGCCCATTGCGAAAATGTGACGTCATGGTATAACTTCATAAAGGTCAGGACGACGGCACCATCATTGCTTAAGCAGAATGTGCGGGTTGTTTGTAGCACACGTGCCTCCGTGTACAGTTCTGTAATGTTGTAGAACAACTCGAACGAGCACACTCCTGTCAATACAACCAATCCCTTTTCATCGGGCGTTTTAGAGATCGTGATCAGCTGCTCCCGCTTGGATGTAGTGTCGACCTGGATCCCAATCTCTCTCTGGAATTTCTCAAGCTCTGTAGCAAGCTCTGAAAGAAAAAACTAAAGAAATTGGTATGGAGAGAACACTCTACCACTTTCCGAGTGGTTGGTTCGAGGGTTTCTATGTAGGAAAACAGTACAAACTCGTGCTTCCCTCCAGTGCTCGTTGATGGGGGCATGCTTCCAACCAAAGTGCTCGCACTGGTTGGTGCCTTGCTCACAGACTCTTCATGCCAAAAAGCAGTCGAACCAACAACTCGGAAAATGATCGATTAGACTGTTTGTATAGCATCGAAGTAATGAAATTATGTTTGTTACCTTCACCGTTTGTGAGGTGTTTGTTCCCCAGGACTCTCGTCGGGGGCCACAGGGGCATTGGATCTTGTTGCAGTTGAGCCTCATAATGACGCTTCAGACGAGGTTGAAGTGGTGTGGAGTGTCTGAATCACTGTAATATGGAAATAAAGATTTTTGTCGACGTCTTTGCTCTCATCATGAAACATTCATGTTACCCAATCTAATACTTCAAGTGGATTGACAAGGTGTGCCTATTATTTCTCCCATAAGTGCTACTCATGCCTCATAAGCAAAAACACATGTGAAAAAAACCTGTTGCCAGAGCAGGAAATTTACACTGTGTCGTACTATCAACATTCTGAATGCATCTGCGAGCCAGGAACAGACCTGCAGTGCCTTATGTGAAAAGCCCGGCACGACGAACAAGAAGTTAAAGGAAAAGACGAGGTGGGGGAGCAGATATTTTAATGTTAACCCTGCTTGCAAATTATTACTGCTAAGCTTCGATAAACCCCTTGGTGGTATCTGTGGTCCTGGTTAAATTAATCATTGTTCGAAGACTAACGTGAGGCAAGATATCTAGGCTATTGTTTGTGGTTTCTCGACAATTTATACTTTTTTATACTCCAAAGTTACATTCCTGCACACTCAAATTGTCCCAGGCTAAATGAAGGCACCGAAAGTTCTGCATACACAAACTACTGTTTTCCATAAGTCTAATCTCCCGTGCCTCCGCTGCAGAATGCTCGTCAGGAGAGCTGACCGAACCACCATTGTTACTCTCGTTTCCCTGTGTCATAAGGAAATCCTGCTGTGTGGAGGTTGGAAGTTGTGGCAGCGGGGGAAAGCACGCAGGAGTGCCCCTTTCACCAAAAAAATATGGAAATAGATATTAAATGGTACACTACCACCACTAGTAGTTTCGATGACAACCTTTTAGCTCAAAATTCTAAACATGAACACGGGTGGTCCCTTATTAATGCTAATTCTGTCGCCTCGCGTACGCGTGCGATGCAGTTAGTGAGTTAGTGCACATAACATTAGATGATCATGTTTTCAGCGAGCGATATTTGTATCGGAAGCTCGCGCTGGCCACTTCGAAGCATGCTTCGTAGCGTACACCAGGAGTGGTAGTGGGCCTCTGAAAGCAGTCTACTAAATCTCCCTATTAGTTTACAATGGAGGTGCATTCATGATAGCATATTCTCTGCACTCATCAAACGCCATGAACACAGTTTGAAACACTTACGTTGCCGCTTCGCCGATCCCTCGCATGACCGCCCGACGTCGTGTGAACACACGGGAAGATTCACCGACGGAATGGCGCGGTAATTTTTGGTACCTGTAACCTAACGCGAAGGAAAAGTTACAAAAACGCTGAGAAATTGTACCGAAATTCCTTGTTATCGGTCTTGCCGGGGACCTTGTAGACCGGGTAGGCGAAATCTTCCTCTTGTAAGTGCTTGCTGCATGCGAGGGCGGACGCTGTTCGTGCTTTTCCCCATTCTTAACTTAATTACCGAAGATTTTCGTAGCCTCGATGACTTGGGGTGGCGGTGAAAGCTAACACCGGGTACTCTTCGAGACTTACACTGTGGTACAGAGCAATAAATAACCATAATTATCAAGCCCGCGTGATCCAAATCGCCGAATCCCGGAATGCGGAGTCCTCTGCCTGATGTCACGGCGCACTTCGTCCATTCAGAACGCGGCGACCTCAGCGCCACCCGTGTTTGTTCTCCCGGCTAATACTATGTCTTCCTGGCCGTATAACTCACCTGCACAAACTGAATAAGTAACTTTCACGTCTTTTAGAGCGCAGCTCTTAGGCGCCCGTTTCCGGCATGAGTGGTGTCGGCACCGGCGTCGCCGTCAGCGTCCCACGCTGATGGCAACGTCCCATAATGCACCGCGCAGTTACGCCGACAGCGACCGTCGGCGTAACTGTGCGGTGCATTATGGGACGTTTCCCATGATGATGTCACACGTGACGTTACCTGTGACGTCATGAGGGTCGGTAACTCGTGACATCACCGCGCGTTGCATTATAGGTAAAATTCCCCGCTAAAGGTCTATTCACACGATGCATCTTGTTGACGAATCTTGTGTCGTGAAACTAGGTTTCGGGAAAGAGATTCCCCGTCTGAACGCGACCGAAAAAGTGGCGCGCCTCCGCAAAAAGTGGCGCGTTCTCCTCGCTTCTGGAGCAATCTTTTGCTGAAACTTCTCCGAGTGCTGTCAATCACCTTAAAAGCTTCGCCAATGGCCGTTCGCAAACGAGTTCACGTGACGTATGAGGCGGGGCGAGCTGTTAGTGGAGCCTGCATTGCGGCTGATACGGTAGCCGAGCCCAATCCAATGAAAGCGAAACCGACCATGGACGCCGCAAGCACCTCCGCGACCGTCGCTACTACGTCTGATGAAAAGGTAAGAGTTGATGCTTACCGAGTGCATTGAAAGAACCTAGTGACAGAAAGAAAAAAAGGTAGAGGTTCTCGGAGTATTTAAAACGGTTTTTATAGCTGTGTTCTCCCGCGAGTATCATAGTTTATGAACTTATCGAACAACCGAAAGTGTTTGCATTGTTTACGGACGAGCGCGGGAGCGTATACAACCTGTCCGAGCCACTTTTATCGTCAATTCGACGGCTGGATATCAGCACCCGGAAGAAACTAGGTTATGCATTGAGCCTCTCTATGCATTTTATGTGCATCCTCTGGGTTTGGGGAATAATTTGGCTGCGTGCGCGTACGGTGCCGGCCGGCGCACTTTTCGGATTTAACATGTATTCGCTACAGTGCCCACTATTTTTAAATTGGCACTCGTGTGTTAACATGTATAGAAACAAAAATTTACGACACGAACAATTGACGGCAATGCTCCGTTTTTATCCCATATGCTGACGTCAATCAGTCTATCAATATTTGTTGCTTTCAATTTAAGATCCACAGAGTCAGACTTGCCAAAACCTCTTTATTATTATTTTTCAGTTTCACTGGACGGTCCACAAACAACGCACGCTCATACAGTTCTACAACTGTAACCACTTTCTGTATCAAACTAGTCATCCGGACTTCAAGAAAAAAACACTCCGAGATGCAACTATGCAAATTGTTGCAGACATGCTCAAGTGCACAGGTGGGTGTGATGTTGGCAGTACTGTCCAATTTCTAAAGCTAGCACTTGTTTACTTAATCAAACTTTTTCCTGAAACAGTGGGGGAGGCAAAAGCCAAATTCCATTGCTTGCGAACATATTTTAATAAGGAGTGGGCCAAGGTGACAACGAAAAAATCTGGCCAGGGGACAGGGGATAACTACGTCTCCAAGTGGGAGTTCTTTGAAGACATGAAGTTTTTGAAGACGAGTCAGACTCCCCAAGCATCCGTCTCATCCCTGGAGGAGCTGACAGTGGAGGTGTGTAGTACCTTGCCCAATAAGTTATAAACATTACCTTATACTATGACGATCATGCATAATGAGGTAACTGTATAGTGCAATGAAAATTATATTTAAATGTTGGGGGCAAACTAAATTCTGTAGAATGTATAAAACAGTACCATAGGCCAGAGCTGTGCAAACTTTTGAGGCCCGTGACCCCTAAAATACTTGCATGCCGTCCGGCAACCCAACTCTCCACCCCCCTCCCTCCCCTCCTCCCCCCCCCCCCCCCCTTTAGAGCAGTATCAAAGCAGCTCGGCTTTCTTAGGCCCCCGCAACCCCCAGACGTCGTCTTGCTACCCCCACTTTGCGCACCTCTGCCATAGACCATTCTGGAAATATCCAGCACCTCCCATCGTCTCTCCAATGCATCCATACATAGGACGAGCTGCTAGTGCTTGTTTAACATTTCGCAATTTCAAAACGAAAAAAAAAAGAGTATGATAATAAGGCGTATGAATTAGATTTGTAATATGTTTGTTCCATTTTCATTGTGTTCTGAAGACTGAACTTGCGGTGGTAAGAGAGAAGGAATTAAGCCACTTCCAGGATGTACGCAGTGTTGAACTCGGCCCGAGTGACCATCTAAATGGCCCCAAAATTTCTCGCTCTTTGTGCTGCAAGGTGGAATTAATGAGGCCTTGTGGGATTTTTTTGGGAAGGTCTATTGCCTAGAAACACACTCATTACCTCAGCTTCAGTTTTTCTCCATCCGCAGGTTAAATCTGGTATTGAACTGAGCTGCTCTGTATTGTAGCCCATGATGTCAAATAATTCATTTTATCGTTTTGAACAGTCAGAGTCCTCCTCATCACCTTGTGTGGTTCTACTCGAAGAAACTGTCGACGATACCAGCACGCCACCCGAGGTGCGACGACCGGCGTACAAACGAAAAAAGAACACCCCGACCCAGCCCATTAGGGAGCAAGTCTTCGAGAAGGCGCTGAAAGTGTTGTCCAGCAGCGCACAAGATGACGGTGACCAATCGTTCGGTGATGCAGTTGTGGCTGCAATTGCCGGCCTAGATGAATATAGGAAGGACCTTATCAAGGCGAGGATCATGGAGGTTATATTTCAGATCAAACATTCTACTTTAATTGAGAACATCTAAGAACAAATTCTATAATTTTTAGCTGCTTTTTTTTTCATCGATTTTAAATAAGGTGTTATACAGGGGTTTGCCCTAAAATCTGGAATAATGGTCGCATGCCCGCAGCAATTTAAAATTTTCATCAGCAGTGTATTTTTACTTTTTGGTACAGTTTCAGGGCAAAGCTTCGTTCCTGTGCTATGCCACAAAGTTGCAGTGAGCAGAAGATGGTACCGTCAGCTTTCGACTGTGCATCGAATACTTGCTGCGTCTATCGGTTAGCTTGGCAGTCCGCATTGGTGTCCTCCATTAAGTCACATATTGTTGGTCTCACATTTCAAAGGAAGCGAGCTATGCATTCAAATTTTGCAAGATAAACTATGCGACTACAATACTCCTTTCATAAAAAAACGAAGATTTCTTTTGTGCAGGCGACAATTTTTACGCCAAATTTTGGAGTTAAGGTGCTGATATTTATTCAAGAGCTGTTTATGATGAGTGTTCACTTAAATAATGTGGTCTTGTTTCGCTTGTTTTAATTATCACTCGTGTACCCTGACCAGGCATTTTTTAGTTTATTTAAAAGGTCATAAAGTGCTTTTTGAGATTCTTGTTTTATTGTCATACTCTCTGCGAGCTCTAAGCATCCTTAAAAATCCGAACTTACATTTACGGGTGGCCAATTTCTACAATAAAAAGGTGATAGAACATGCCGACACTTACCATTGGTACAAAACGACAGATGGTGCTACCGAGCCTTGCTGCTGAATATGGTTGAATAATGGACGGCACTTGTCAGCCACTCGCAAGCGGTGGGTTCCCGCGTGGATGAGTGGGACTGGTCGGCTGGTCGTCCACGCGGGAGCCCACCGCTTGCGAGTGGCTAACAAGTGCCGTCCATCGTTCAACCATATTGAGCAGCAAGGCTCGGTAGCACCATCTGTCGTTTTGTACCAATGGTAAGTGTCGGGATGCTCGGTCACTTTTTTATTGTACAAATCGGCCGCCCATAAATGTAAGTTCGGATTTTTAAGGATGCTTAGAGCTCGCACAGAGAGTATGATAATAAAACAAGGATCTTAAAAAGCACATCAGTGCCCCTTTAAGAGTTCTTGACTTTAAACGAGGTATTCACTTGAATAGTCTTTTAGTTTTTGTTTCCTCAGTTCTCAAATGACATTTGGCTTCCCTTGTATTAATAATAAATCAAATATAATGTTTTGTAGTTTCCTTTTTATTCCAGGTGTTTATGATCGAAATATTTCCTTGAACAACACACACAAGGTGCTTACATACACTCATTCAGAGCATGCACATAGGCCTACATTCAAATGTATATAGATGCGATGGAGTGAACGTGAAAGACAAATAAATCAAAGCCGCCTTCAATGTACACCAAATGACACAGTCATGTCTTCATCATGAGTACACCTGTTTATTCCTTCCTTACTTCCTTCACCCGCACTTCACTTCACCTAGCCACCCATTACCCCCCCCCCCCGCCTAAAAAAAAAAAATCATGTGTGTTATTTACAATAAAGAGAATAATGAACATAATTACCCAGATTGTTCATATAATGAGATATCCATATTAACGAGACACAAGTACAAAACTGCACCAAACTCGCACAATGACACTTTCTCTTCCCCCTGCTCTTCCCGTACATGTCATACTCTAACATAGTGACCTATCTTGGATAAAACAAATTTTCAGAAGATGCATTTGGCATACACGGTTTAAATCAAAATTTCAATATACAGGGTGGCACAAGCAGACCCGGCGCTGTAATACAGGCTTGAAAAAATCGGCTCCTGCAAATAGAAAGCCCAAAACTTTTACAGAATGCACTGAGCACATCAGCCTTACCGTGCAAAATTCCAAGGCATACAGTTTGGTTGGGTCTTCTAAAGAATGAAAGCAAAAAGCTTGCCAAAGACAACGTCGAGTGCGTACAAAGACAAATCGGTTTTCGATCCTATTAACTTGTGGTGCCATCGGATAGAAGCAATGAGCAGACGACGCTTTGGCAAGCTCGCTCTCAATTTTTACAGGAAAAGAACAATGACTTGAAATTTCACATGATAAAATTTACCTGCTCAGTACATTCGGGGAAAGTTCCATGTGCAGGCGGCAATTTTTTGCAACATGTTGAATAGTGTCGGATCCGCTTGTACCGCCCTATATATAAACAGCAAAGATTGGCCGCACTTATGCCTTGCAGGAAAATTGCACAACTTATTGAAGTAACTATAACTTCCAAATTTACATATATCTTTCATTTTCCAGGCTACAGCGAACCTTCACCAATGCAAGAAACAATAAAAATAAGATTCAAGGGCGAAAAGAGGCACAGTGTACTAGCCCAATCTAACGAGATGTGAAGAGAGAAGCATGTGGTTTTCAGTGAATGCTGTGCAACATGAAGGGCTCCTGGGAACTCGTAAACAAGTGCAATAGAGATGGGGATCTACTGCACATTTTTATGAGTTCCCACCAGCTCACCAGGTGACACAGCAGGTAGCGAAACACGCATTTCGCTGTTCGCATTTCAGTTGGACCAAATAGCATATGAACACGCTCGTGCATGCCCTGCTAGGGCCTGGCCTTAGTGCTCATTGATATAGTCAAGTTGCCAGTCCACAGCTCCCTCTTGATTAAAATGCCTACAAAATTCTTTCCTGACATTGTTGGCTGCGACTGAAGGGTGGACGCCGTGGTTTGGCAAGGGTGAGAAGCCACCCACATCCGACGCTTTCTCTGGTTTCATGTCGGTGTCAACACCTTCATCCCTAAGCATGTTGTGGAGCCCGCAACAGGCCAGGACCAGGGCGGTGACATTTTGGGGGAGAGCCTGGATGGGTCTCAGGAGGATCCGGAATCTTTGGGCGAGCACTCCAAAGAAGTTTTCTGAAACTCTACGTGCCCTGGAGTGCCTGCGTACAAATTATACTCACTTCAGTGTTGATACCATTGTGAATCACCTAGAGCACTCTTGCTCTAACCTAGAGAAAACCATTTTTACACGGTACCTGTAGTTGTAGATTTTCTCAGGTTGTTTCGCCTGCCCAGGGTAGGGACCGCATCAGGTTTTCGCCGATTGGGAATGCGGCATCTGCCACGAAAACAAAAGGCTGGGCGCATTGCGCACCTGAAAAATGTATAGTGAATTATTCCGATTTACAAAGTGGAAGGTCAACTGCTGAAGGAGTATTGCGTAAGAATTAAACAGATCACCTAACAGAGGCTCAGGGGTCGGGAGGTTGAGAGAATTGTCAACCAGCCCTTTGTAGAATGTACTCTTCTTGAACGTGGTGGAGTCGTGCGTCCTTCCACTCGTTCCGACATCTACATATATGGCCTGGGAAAAAGAACAAACAAAGCCAGATATAGGGAACATACCGTTGAGCCAGTCAATAATTTTACGAATTTTTGTAAGCTGAACCAAGAGTGCCACATTTCTAGAAACAGATGCCAATGCTTGTTTTGTGAAGACAACATAAAGACTTGTTACAAAACTCGGTCTAGCCTCCTTGATTATAACTATAATCAGCCAAGTGTAAGGCATCTATTTCATTTTAAGATGCCTGCAATACTCTTGACTTTTTAGTTCAATGTGATATAACTTCCACACATTAAAAGTAATTACAACATAGTGGTAAATATGTCGAAGGATCAGGTGTCCTGTTATGTCACTTGTCAAAATTCTGGCAGTTGCTTGAAATGCTGTCAGAGAAGACAACAGATATCAAGGTTGGTATTTTTATGACATCCTGACATTGTGGAAAGCTAGCTTTTTGACTGCAGAGCAAGTTAACGAAACAGGTACTGCTCTACCACCTTTAGGATCACGGATGACCTCTGAAAGAGGCAATTATGGTTGAGACCACGCAAGGAGGATATCACAAATAGAGGGACCAAGAATGAGGTTGCAGATGTGCTTAAACAGGGGGAGGATGCGTCCAAGCAAAAGGTACATAACCTGTATACCTTGTGCAGTGCAGGATGTGTGAAAGTGATACTGTCTGAAGAAACATTATATTCCAGCATGGTGGTGGGATGTGGTATTTTAAATCTTGGAATCACACTAGTATGAAAGTGGTATGAAGAAATTATAGTAAGAAACAACACTGGCAAAAGGTTATTTGAAAAAAAAAGCAAATACTTATTATATTGTTGTCTTAGGAAATCTCTGGGTGTCGCTGAAAGACTCGATTGCTTTACAACGTGAAACACCATTGCTGTATTTTTTTCCTAAAATATTAAATCCCCCCCCCCCCTATGTTGGCCCTCAACATCTTGGGAATGGGCTATCTTGCACCCACACTCAAATGAGTTTGAGACCCCCGGTCTATGGTTGCATGTGATGACAAAGGAATACCTTCAGGTCTGCGTCCACCACAGCGAGCAACACCAAGCTGAAATTTCCCATGTAGTTAAAATATTCAGATCCGGTGTTTGGTGGGGCAAACATATTGATGTGTTTTCCATCAATCGCTCCGAGGCAGTGTGGATAATTCCATATTTCCTCGAACCTTCGAGCCACACCTCTCCACTCTGATGAAGTTTTTGGCAGAACTATGTGTCTGAAAAGAAAAGGATGATAATCAGCTAGTACTCAGATATGTTAATATTATCGTGCAGCAGCAAACCCAACAATTTTGTTAATGGGAATGAATATCACATACCGCTGTCTCAGGTAGTTGTACAGTGCAGCGCACGTGCTGTACACAATGCTGTGCACAGTCTTGTGTCCTAGCAAGTACTGGTAATGCAGAGACCTGAGAGAATCTCCTAGAAAATAAAAACGAGAACAAATTGAACAACAATATCAAGCAGTTGAGTAGAATACAATCATGACGAAAAAGTGGCTCTTATTTATTCAAATATTCTAAACATTATTATCACCTTAATAACTGCTATTCGAACCCAAGCAAAATATCAGAGACCATCGACCCAAGCGAGATAATTGATTGTTGGCAGTTTCTCCAAGTATGGTGGTGAAGCTTCACCCCAGAATGCTGGTGCAAAGTAGTGAAGCTTGAACAACAAACAGGAGAATTCTACAGACATTGTTTGTATTTTACTAATATTAAAAAACTTCGGAAAAAGTGTGCCACCCATCGAGTCGAATAGCAAACACTTCGTGAATTCGTCCAAGTTTCAGTTCAAGCGTTGCTCACAATCTGATCAATTCTTTCTGCTCTTTTGACAGCACTGATCTTTTAGTTTAATGATTTGGCTCCACATCTGTTCCAATCCGCCATCGTCTGAATTATTTTTTTTCCTTGCCTAGTAAGGTAAACACTCTGAAACCAATGAGCCCAAAACTTACCGCTTGCGAGGAAACAGAGCGTCATCTCGAGTCGCTCCTCCGCGGAAATCGCCGTCCTCATGACGGTGTCTTGCTTTTGAACATCGGCTCGAATTCCATCAGCAAGACGCTGGAAAACCTCGGGCGTCATCCGCAGGTATCGGCGAAACTCGTTCGGGTCTTTCAGGAGGTCCCGTGTGAGCGAATGGTGCGCTCCGGTCTGCTCGCGCTTCTGAATATACGGCTTGACCCAAGGTCGCG